GAGCAGAAGGGGTGGTCAATCCAAGAAATCCTTTCGAGGAGCAGGAAACAGGTCTTTTCAGTGTCCCAGATAACTCCCTGGACCTGACTCCCATTGGCGGACGCCTTAAATTATTCGCGGACCAATGGGACTCCTCAACGTCGGATTCCTGGGTCAGACACGATCAGATTTGGCCTTGCACTGGAGTTTCAATCCACGCCCCCAGATTTTTTCATGTCATGCCCTCTCTCCAGAGATCTGGTTAAACATAATCTCATGGAAACAGCTATCCAACATCTACTGGACATACGAGCCATCCAACGAGTAGCCACCAACCAACGAGGACGGGGTTTCTATTCACATCTTTTTGTTCCCAAAAGTTCGGGGGGGTGGGGGGTGGAGAGCAATATTAGATCTGAAATGTCTCAACCGTTTCTTAGTATATCGCAAGTTTAAAATGCATACCCTGCAATCTATCTTACTTGGCATCAGAAAAGGTGACGTCCTTACGTCTATAGATCTGACGGAGGCATACCTACATATTGCTATTCGGCCTTCCCACTATAAATTCCTGAGATTCTGTTATAACAACCACCATTTCGAATATGTGGCCCTTCCTTTCGGACTTGCTTCTGCCCCCAGAACCTTCACGAAGGTTCTCGCAGCCCTAGTTGCTCATCTCCGTGATATCCTAGTACGACTCCAGTGTTACCTTGATGACATCTTAATTTTGTCATCTTCCAATCATCAAGCAGAGATACTCAGAACACATTACAATCCCTACAACAACACGGGTTCTTAATAAATTGGAAAAAAAGTCATTTAACACCATCGACTTGGTTAATCCATCTGGGGGCAGTCATAGGTACGATGGAAGGCAAAGTTTACCTGTCAGCAGATAGACTAAATAGCATTCAGCAATTGGTTAAGGAGATCAGAGGTCTTAAGAGGGTGTCCCTAGCTGAACTATCAAAATTATTAGGCAAGATGATCTCATGTATATCTATCATCCCTTGGGCCCAGCTCCACACTAGATCCCTCCAGTGGTTCCTGCTCCTGTACCAGCGCTCTGGCTGAAGCAACTCCAAATACAAGGTCAAGGTACCATTAAAGGTCCTCATATCTCTCCTCTGGTGGACCAGACCAGTCATCAACAGGCTGCCTCTTCAAAGAGCCACACAGACTTACCATCACCACCGATGCCAGCCTGTTTGGATGGGGAGCTCATGTTCAATTGCTCACAACCCAAGGCCGCTGGTCCGCCATAGAACAGTCGTGCAGCATAAACTGGCTGGAGCTTCGAGCACTACACCTGGCTCTCCGCAGCTTCCTTCCACAGGTACGCAATCAACACATACTAATATTGACCGACAACGTAACAGCCAAAGCTCACATAAACGGGGGCACACAGTCGAAACACCTCATGCGGAGCGCTTGTGTTGTTGGGCAGAGAGCAACCTACTTTCCATCAGAGCAGAACACATTTTGGGCCTGTCGAATACACAGGCAGACTGGCTAAGCAGGGCCATGATCGATAAATCGGAGTGGCGCCTCCATCCGACCCTGTTTCAAGAGGCGGTCAGGAGATTTGGGCAGCTGGTGGTAGACTTGTTCACTTCCCCCCTCAACTCTCAGCTCCCCAGATTCATTTCCAGGTACCCCTTGCAAGGAGCGGAGAACTTCAACGCGCTCCGCTGCCATTGGCCCCAGGGTCTTCTGTACACATTCCCATCACTTCCTCTGATCCCCAAGGTCATACAGAAGCTGCTGGACGAGAGGGCGGAGCTGCTGCTAATAGCTCCTTACTGGCCCAGACGGCCGGGGTTTGTAGACCTCCACAGTCTATCCTTATCAACACCATGGAGAATTCCGTCGGACAGGGTTTTGCTAACCCAGGGACCCCTTCGACATCTGGACCCTCAATGGTTGCACCTGACCGTCTGGAGGTTGAGCGGAGACGTCTGAAGAGCGAAGTTTTCCAACAGAGTTATCACTACCATCCAAGCTGCCAGATGCCCCTCAACAACTCGTATCTACAATGCCACGTGGTCCAGTTTCTGCAAATGGTGTACTAAGTCTCAAACTGATCCCATCAGTGGCTCAAATCCTAGAGTTTCTACAAGAGGGGCTTGACAAGGGATTATCACCTAATATGTTGAAAAGGCACGTGGCGGCTTTGGCATCGGTTGTCACTTCTGAGGGTGTACTGTCTCTTTCTCATCACTCACGCATACGGAGCTTCCTTCGAGGAGCCACAAATTTACACCCGCCAGCGGTTCACCGTTATCCCACTTGGGACCCTAATAAAGTCCTCGTTGCACTCACTAAGTACCCTTTCGAACCCTTGAAATTGTCAAGTCTCCCAATTTCTGACGTATAAAGTAGTTTTCCTTGTAGCGATCACTTTCACTCGTCGTATTTCAGAACTGGCAGCTTTGTTGATCAGAAAAGACCTTTGTGTCTTCCATTCTGACAGGGTAGTCCTTTGTCCTGATCCTATGTTTATACCCACAATTAATTCGGCGTTTCACAGGGCACAAGAGCTGATACTCCCTAAGTTTTGTCCCAAGCCATCTCAAAGGTTGGAACTACAATGGCATTGGCTTGATGTGAGGCGAGCATTGCGAATATATATTCACCGCACAGCGACTTTCCAGAAAACGGAAGCTTTATTTGTGCCGTTTCAGCCAAACACTCAGGGATGCAAGGTCTCTTCCTCCACAGTAGACCGTTGGCTACGGGCTGCGATAGCGAAAACGTATCAGACTCAATCACTACAGGTGCCCAGGGGAATAACAGCTCATTCAACAAGGAGCGCTGCAACATTGGCATCATGGGCCACGCAGGCACCAGTAACTGATATTTGTCGAGCCGCAACCTGGGCCTCTCCATCGCCCTTCATTAGGCATTATAAAATAGAAGTGTTTGCATCCGCTGAGGCCTCCTTTGGCAGACGAATTCTGCAACAGGTCCACGGGGACCAGGAGGGAATTCCAAGCCAGATAGAGTCCCTCCCATAGGACAGGCCAAGCTTTGGTGTGTCCCACTACTGGATGCTCTGAACAGCTCATAGAAGAAAGGGCATTGGTACTTACCTGATAAGCCCGTTCTCTTTGAGCTGTGAAGAGCATCCAGCCCCACCCCTTTTTTCCGTCTGGTGGGCTCCTATTTCGGCCAACGAATTGTTAAGGCGTTCAGGGCGAGTGGTGTTTATTCTCTTGTCTTCGCCAAAACACTGGGGAGGAGTCCCGGGGAGGAGGAGGAGCATTCCAGAAATTAAGCCCAGCCTAGATGTGCAGAGACTGAAGCACCTCCCACTACTGGATGCTCTTCACAGCTCAAAGAGAACGGGCGTATCAGGTAAGTACCAACGCCCTTTTTATTTTTGTTTTTTAGCCTATTTTAACTCAATGTTAGTAGCCCAGTGGTACGTTTTTTGAGTTATGTGACTATATACAGGTGGTCCTCAACTTATGACCACAATTGACCTCAACATTTATGTTGCGAAGGAGAAATTTTTTAAGTGAGTTTTCCTCCTTTTTATGACTTTTCTTGCCACTTTTATAAGTGAATCACTGCAGTTGTTAAATTAGTAACCTGGTTGTTAAGTGACTCTGGTTTCCCCATTGACTTTGCTTGTGAGAAGGTTGCAAAAGGTGATCATATGACCCAGGAACATTGCAACCATCATAAACGTGAGTCAATTGTCAAGCATCTGAATGTAAATCATATGACCATGCAGTGGTCATAAGTCTGAAAAATGGTCATGTCACTTTTTTCAGTGCTGTTGTAATTTTGAACGGTGACTAAGTGAATTGTTGTAAGGGCTATCTTTACATTTATTAATAAATAAATACTGCCATTATGAAACACTTTAGAAACCATATTTGATCCTAGCTGTATGCTAGAACACTCTAGTTGTTAAACAGTTACCCTTTATTGTTGGTGATGCAAATTAAATGTAACATCTGTTCAGTTGGAAGTTGTATCTGTGTCTTCCAAATTAAAACATCTGCCTTCCATATGTAATGTTCTAGTAAACAAGTATGATATATCTCCCGAAGCTAAATTGTAAACTATTTTTCATGTATTAGTCAACCATTTAAAAAACTAGTATCATAGCAACAAGCAAATAATGTGTGTGATTTAGCCCGTGGTTCCCCACAAACACTCATTGTACTGCAGATGAGAAACAGTCCCCTTTACCAGTTGTGCTGTGTTCCTGTGACTGTTGGTTTTCCATACTGGACTGCTAACCGAGGCCCACCAAGGCTTCCCAGTGCTATTAAGATGTGTGCACTAAACAAATTATGCCAAAGCAGAAGTATTCACAATACATTAAGAAATAATTTGTAAACAGAAACCATCATATACTTTTATGTAGATAGATTTGCAAAATTTAATTTTAACTGTTAACATACCAGAAGGAATTTAAAAGTTAAATGATTAAAACTTTTGAGTATGTTCTTGGCTTGCACATTTCCATCTGATTTCCTCCACCCCCTTTGGTCTTTTGGTATTATGTTAGAATAGTAGTACATATTCATTGTACAACTGATAAAACATACTTTAGGCTAAATTAGAATACAGTTTGGAATGTTCTTTTTTATTTTACTCATCTCGGTTGTAATTACCTCTTCTAGATGAGTTAATAAAGATGTTTTATCAAAATGAAAAGAAAAATAAACCAAAATATTCCAAATATAAGGAAATCAAAATCATTTGCAAACAGCTCCCACACCACACCCATACCCAAGCCTATTCAAATGTATTATTATTTTCTCTTTAGGTCAAACCATCCACTTTTCAATTTAGATTAACCAGAAGACAAGCTATGATATAATCTTAGTAGCAACTTTTAGGGGCTTTAAATAGAAATATCTAATTTTACAATGTTTGCTCTCTGTTTCTTATATACTGTGTTCATTGTCTTCAGAAGTCTGTTTTACTTTGCATGTATTACTCCAAAGATTGGAAAATACATGGATGTAACCTATTGCCTGAATAATGATTTATTCTAGGCCCAATCAGCAGCATCCTGGTGAACAAATATGGCAGCCGTCCAGTCATGATTGCCGGGGGCTGCCTGTCAGGCTGTGGTCTGATCGCTGCCTCTTTCTGTAATACTGTAGAAGAGTTGTACTTCTGTGTTGGTGTTGTGGGTGGTAAGTCAACATATCTATAAAATGTAGATACATGTAATTGTACAACTTTCAAAGAGAATATATAAATGTAGATAAGTTTTTTAGAGAGCAAGAATGCAATTCTTTATTGGAAATTGATCTGGAAGTAAAGGCCAATACTTCCTTTCTAGTATGACTAATCTCTTGAGCTGGTGACCTAGAATTTCCATGGCTATTTTTTTTTTTCAGAGAAGGGTATCATTATTCATCATTTGAATGTTAGTCAAAAGCTAATTCACAATATCTCTCATCCCATTCAACCAGCTGGGAAAAGTTTCATGTGTTCCTGAGCTAGTATTCCACAATGTGTTATTCTTCTGACCAGGACATTAATAACCAGAAATGACCAAACCAGCCTGGAAACAGCATAGTCCAGTAAAAGTTCAACACAGTTAAGTTCATTCCAGAATTCTCTGAAGTCATTGAATTTTGCACATTGAAAACAGAGTTTTGATATAAGAATGTTTCAGATGTTACTGAACTATCCCTAAGTATTTAGTGTGTGTGTTTTGCATTCTGTATCCCGAAGTCTTGAATGCGTTAAGGGAATTGTATTCCTTTCTATCACTTAGTAGCTTAATATGATGAATATAGTGTGCATGTCACAGTATTGATAAGAGCATAAACTGATGCTAGAACAAATGATTCATAAGGACTGCATTTGTATGTGTTAATAATTTTAATATAATTGTATTTTTATTCCCAGGTCTGGGCCTTGCATTTAATTTAAACCCAGCTTTAACCATGATTGGCAAGTATTTCTATAAGAAGCGTCCTTTGGCTAATGGATTAGCCATGGCTGGCAGCCCTGTATTCCTGTCTACTCTGGCTCCTCTGAACCAATATTTCTACAGTATTTTTGGATGGAGAGGGAGCTTTTTAATTCTTGGAGGCCTTTTGTTGAACTGCTGTGTAGCTGGGGCATTGATGAGACCAATAGGACCTAAGCCTGATCAAGTGAAAAAAGAAATTAATAAGGAAGCATTGCAGGAGATGGGCAAAGTGACAAGAAAAGAAGGAGGAGATGTTAATACAGATCTTATTGCTGGCAAAAATAAAAAGCAAAAGACTACAGCCTTCCAAACAATTAACAAGTTTTTGGATTTGTCGCTCTTCACACATCGTGGCTTCTTGCTTTACCTGTTTGGCAATGTGTTTATGTTTTTTGGACTATTTACACCATTAGTGTTTCTCAGCAACTATGGAAAGAGCAAGAATTTCTCTAAAGAATCTTCAGCTTTACTGTTATCTATTCTGGCTTTTGTAGACATGGTTGCCAGACCATCCATGGGTTTGGTGGCAAACACTAAGTGGATTAGACCTAGAGTCCAATATTTTTTTGCTGTGTCTATTATCTACAATGGAGTATGCCACCTTTTGGCTCCTTTATCTACTAGTTATGCTGGGTTTTGTATCTATGCTGGATTTTTTGGATTTGCTTTTGGCTGGCTGAGCTCTGTCTTGTTTGAAACACTGATGGACTTAGTTGGGACTCAGCGATTCTCTAGTGCCGTTGGTTTGGTGACTATCGTGGAATGTTGCCCTGTCCTTTTGGGACCACCTCTTTTAGGTAAAATATTTCACTCTCGGGATGGGGAGAAAAGAGATTGTATTGGCATTTTGATGATCTATGAATCTGATCTAAATGTTAGAAAAATAATTAATGCTGCTTATAATCATGCCTCATATTAGGATTTCTTAAACTGTGAGTTATGAGCCTCTGGATATGAAGATAGTTGCAGCCACCGAATATATGTTATCTTTTTTCAGGTCTTATTCAGGGGTTGCCCCTTTTATCTACGTAGATGATACTGAATTACAGCAGTAGCTGCTGCTACGTCACCTTTTCTCCTCAATTGATCTTTGCTAACAATAATTTTGCAAAAATTGCCCTTTAACTATATAGTATTGGAAAAGAGACTGAGCTTGTCTTGGCCCTGTGTACATATTTGTGCACCCACAGAACCACAAACTTCACTGCTTTGATGGGCACATTCTGATCACCATTGCAGGATTTGGTAGCCTTAGTGGTAAAAGATAAATCTAAGAGAAATTTAAGAAAGGGGTTATTTCTAAATAGAATTAAGTCAACATGAAGGCTAGAACAAATTTTGATTTTTACAGTCATTTCTCTGCTGATCATACCAACTCATACCAACTGTTTTCTGAAAAGAAGGATAATTAATTAAAACATTACTGTTGTCCTTTGCATTCCTTCCAGTATTGCATGGTTATGCACAATATACATAACTCTGTCTCTTGAAATATGTTTGCATATTGCTGTTGGAATGTTCCTACCCAGATACATTAATGTCCCTTATGGACAGCTGTTATTTTCTTCCAGCTCCTCTACCCTTCAAGAGTTGAGATCCTTGCCTTTTTGGGGGGAGGAGGGAAGGAAATGTGAATTCTGCAAAGTGTCTTATGCATAAAGTTTCTGGGAAGAAGACATTACCAGTACTGGTTGCAGTTTAACGTGGCAACTGTAGGTTGACATAGCAGGGAAGGTGGACAGTGCCTTGGCAATTCTGTTTTGAGAAGGATCGTTCTTAAAATTTACTAAAATAATGTCAGGGGCAATTTCCAGTAGCGTCTAGCATGCTGGTAAGTTTGGTTCATGACAGTAGGGTGTGTTACATAAATTCAGCCCAGTATTTGAGAATTCCTATGTTATACAGATATCTAGAAACAGTCTGATAATGAAAGGAAACTCTTTAGCAGTGAAGTTAATTATTAGCATTTGTGACCATTAATTATTCACTATTACAAAATAGCCTTAAAACTTATTCCCCTCCCTCCTCTGCTTTTGCCTTTTAGGTAAACTCAATGATATATATGGTGACTACAAATACACTTATTGGGCATGTGGCATCATCCTTATTTTCTCTGGGATCTTCCTATTTATTGGGATGGGCATCAATTACCGATTAGTGGCAAAAGAGCAGAAGGCAATGGATAAGCAGGCTGCTGAAAGAAAAGAAGAAGAAACCAATATTGATGAAGCTGAAAAACAAAAGGAGTCCAACAAAGTGGTTAATCTACCTCCCAAAACCACAGAAGATGCTATAAAAGAAGACAGTCGTGTATGAGAGACTCATAAATCCAGAAGGTTTTGTAATAATTAAAAAATACTGACATGTTTGAAGGAACTACTGGTCTTAATGAACAGTGGTGGAAAATTATATAAACTGGGCTTTTTAAAAAAATACAAAACCTGATACTGCAGATAGTATTTTTATCAACACCTGATGAGCAACAGGTCAGTGGGCAGTGCTAGCTTTTTAGTAGGGTTTTTTGTGGGGGTTTGGGGGGGATGTGTACTCTGCTTCTCTCTTATCAGCAGTGTGAATGTACTAATATGTGCCTTAGAGTTTCCATGTCTAGACTATTTTAGCAAAGCCTTAACACTGTTCTGTAAATTGTTGGGAGTTGTTTTTTGTTTGTCTCCCTAGGCAATATTCATAAAAGATACCTGACTTGCTTTATTAGTAGGGATCAAAGTTGGGTGTTAACCATTTCCTATGCTCCTTACTGACAGTCTCATGGTAGGTGTTCAAATATCTTGGAGAAAAAAATGAAGAAAAGGTTGGCGGATCCTTTAAAAAATAATAATAATTATATGGCAGACCTAATGTTTCTGGATCCAGGATTCAAGATAACTTCATTGTGTTTCTAATAACTTCTAAAAACTTACCCAACTTCTTGTTGGACTTCTTTGAATAAAATATGTGAACATTTTCATACTGTCTTCACTTGACTTTATCTGGAGAGGAAATTTAGTTTTTAATTACTATTACTTTTTGGTTTGTTACATGTTTTGAAAAAGTACTATTATCCTGAATTGAAACTGGGATCTGTGTAAGAGGATAGTGCATGCAATTATTGAACAAAGCTAAAGATGCAGTATTTTCATTAACTATTTAAGCTTTGAAATAAGAAATTCTAAGGATATTGCCAAACATGCTTACTTAGAAGTAAGCCTCATTGAAATCAATATTGCTTACGTTTAGATAATGATAAATTTGCACTATTACCAAGAATAGTGATACTGATATCTAACTTTCACTTACCAATTATGCTATTTCCAAAGGGATATATATATATATATATATATATATTGTACTGTGGCTTTTAAAAAAAACTTGGTTGTGGGGGTGGGGCAATATTTCTCCTTATTTTGTATAGTGAGAGAATGTTGTCTTAACACAGCTATAGTGCCAGAACAAATAACATTTTGTTAAACTGCTCAGCATAGATAAAATAGATAAAGTTTTTCATATTTTTCATGTTGACTCACTCTGAGTGGATTATATTTTAATATATATATAGCTGCTCAACTTTATTTTTAACTTTGTACAAAGTAGAAACCTGTGTGTTCCTTGTATTGAAAAATCTCACATTTCGAGGACAGGTGGAAAACAGATTTCTGATCACAAGCCAGGTCTTCAGAAAATCAATCAAAAGTTTAGATTATGTAAACTATGTTTGCATAGTTCACCCATTAAATGTGACTAGTTCTTTTCCTATTTCAGTTTTTTGTATAGTAATTCAAAATGTATAGGAGCAAATCTGTGGAACTCCTTGAGAGATGATTGGTTTAAATGATCTATTGTAAAATATTACTCTACAAATGTCATAATTACTTAATTTCCTGAAAGCTAGAAAAATTATTGATAGAAATATTCCTTTTGCTTGCAAACTGGTGCTTGCTGTAGTGAATGTAGTGTTTGATGTCACTACTGGAGTGAAAAACAATATGCTGCTAGAATCCTTTAATAAAGAAACATTTAATATTTCAATAGACTAATGGAGGAATATATGACATGTAAAATTTCATTTCTGATTATATATGTTATGGTATGATGTGCTCTTGATTGTCCTACACTACTGAATCTCATTTGTTACTGCTTAGACAATGGACAAAAACTAGCAAAATCTGTGTTCTTTAGTTCTAAAATAGGACAAGAAAAATAGATATTAGACTGCCAGGACAAGGCAGCGCATAGAAATACTAGTAATGAATAATTCACTAACATGTTATATGCTTATTCCATTTAAGATTCAATCTGCATGATTTATAGCATAGTTGTTTTAAAAACCTGAATGTAGTCCTATATAAATCAAACTGCAATTAGTGTAATTTTATTATTCCTTAAGATGTTTTAGTACATAGAGACAAATAGGTAATCATAAAATGGTGTCTGGCTTCTCAATTGGAGGCTGTTCTTCAACAAAAGCTTTTAAAGTGAATACAGGTTCTCTTCAATTTTTTAGGTATTGGCTTTGGATAACATTGCACAAAACATTCTTTTGTATAAATTTGTGTAACTTAATTTAGCAATATGCCAAGAATGTAGAAATTCCAGGTTATGATCTATATTGCTATATTCATGTGGTTGTGCAAACTAATACATTTTCAGTTCTCTTTGCAGAATGCGTGCCATTTCCTTTAAGAATCCCCAGTTGTAGTTCAGGCATTTTATCACATTCCCACATGTTCTTATAGTAGAACAAGAAAAAAACATTTGTATGATGTAAAGGCAGTACCTGTGAGATCTAGAAATATCTTTCTAGCATGTAAGATGATATGTGACTGAGTTGCTCAAGAAGCTAGTAAAGTGTAAAAACAAAAACAAAAAAGAGCACAAGGCATATACAGGATAGTTCTTGGTAGTTCCAGAAATAAATAATGACTAATATGATCTTTTGAAGAATTTTTCACTCCCCATGTAGACCTACTTGTCTTTAAGTACTAATTATAACATGATGCTCTACTCCCTTTCCACTAACTGAAATTAGTAGATTGAAATATTATTTAATAAGTTTGATCCCTAATGTTTGTTCATGTGTGATGCAAAGTTTGTATAAACCAAATTGAAAATAAATTACTTTTCACTTGCTTTCTGTTAAGCCTCCTATTTGCCAAAGTTCAAGTCTGCTTCATGCAAGTGTACATGAAATTAACTGGTAACTGCTCCAAACCTAAAGGTTTAGGTTAATAAAGTAGAACAAATCTCACTTCATGATTTCTGTCCTTTTCCCTCAATATGAAGAATCTGACAGGTGAAGTTGCTTTTAATGAACAGAGTTTGTGGAAGTCCCTTGACAGTATTAAAAATACACTGTGAAATATTTTGTTGTCTTGGCTACTGAGTTTATTAGAATTTTTATATATCCAAAATGAAACACAAAAGAAGTCTATCAGGCTGTTTTCATACTTCTAAGTGTGTATATTCAGTAGAATATTTTCATATATATGTTACTGTACTCTGTTAAAATGTGACAGTACAAAACCTCGTGTCTCATGTTCAACCTTGTCAGCGTGTCAAGAATGCATAACTGGTTCAGTTTGCAATAAACTAACATTGAAAACTTCCAGTTTGAGCCATATTCTTATAACTATAATTAGCCATGATGGTAAATAGTATACTTGATCTTTGGTCTTTATTTTACTTGGTGAATTAAAAAAATGGTTATCATAACTATCCTGGAAAACACATTAAATTTGTGGGGAGAGTGATAGATATAATGCAGTAGATGATATGTATTTCAGGGAGCATACCGAAAATTCTTTTTGCTTTAAATGTTTAATTACGTATCACTGAAAGGAATAATAAACACCTCTCTAAAGTTATAGAAAAGAATTAAATAGGTTCTCAAGGTTCTGTCAAGATCTAAGTAGGATAAAAGTATATGCTGCCATTATCTTGATTTCATAGCATTTAGCAGATAACAATTTTTCTCGTAATTGTTTACAGATGAATACAAGTATAGAAATAGTATATGTTTCACTTGCTTATGCTCTGTGATCATTAGAGTCTTTTGAGGCTTGTGAACCGTTTCTTTTTAGGCCTAGAAATTGAGGTCTACATTTGCAGACCAAAATGTAACACTCAAAAGCTAAAAATCTATTTATTACCAAATATACATATAAATACAGCAATGGTTTCTGAACAGATTCATGTAGCTAGATAAATAACCCTTTCAAGTGCTCTTTAGGTCTTAAAAAAAATAGGTGTTGCTTTTGGAAGTTTTTTTTTTTGCAGGTGGGGGACTGTTTATTTGCTCTTTAGTGTTCCATCTAAATATTTTATTTTTCTTTAACATGTTTATATCAAAACAAGTAAACAAATACAATTAAGCGCATCTTTGGGAATTTGTAATGCAGAACTTTTTTCCAGCTTATTTCCTTTCACATTCTATAGTTAGCTATCAGTGTTTCAAGTGATTCTTCAACTATGTTAAAATAAGAAGTGCTGACTTGATGTTTGATGGAGTCCCACAAAGCAGTGCCTCAGAATTGTCTAGATAATTCTAGTTATCCTAGAGGAACCCAGACTATACAAGATAGCAGAAAAGTTAACAGATCTTATTTACTGTTAGTAAAACATACAAGAGGGGCCAGGCCATCAATGCTTTATTATAGAGATACTGCAACTGCACAAATGAAACCATTGTTAAGGGATTTGTTGTTGCCTTTCAAATGCTGTTTGAAAGGGTTCTAAACCCTTTCAAATGCTGTTGCCACATATTCTTTTATTATTATGTTTCCTACCAAGTCCTTACTGTAAATTGGATTATAACATTTTCTCTTTTCTTCCCTCTCCCAGAACAGTTGTTACAGTAGTGAAGCCAAGGGACTAGTCTATATTATTCCATTAGTCTGCAGAATAATGGTACAAAAGAGCATTCTGCAACTAACACAAGCAGAGCTGAAAATAGAAAATAGATCCTAGATAAAATGTTTGTGCTTTTAAGTTCCGTTAAAATTCCAACTTAAAGCTTGCATCAAGGATCAAGGATTTTTTTTTAAACAATTGAACTTTATTGGGTTTCAAAGTAAATTGTATACAAAGCCACTATCATGCAAATATTTATTTTTGCTGGCACAATTTTCATCTTAGGCTATTCTTTAAACTATAATTTCTAATCTATTCTTGCCTAAAATGTTAAAAACCAAGATTGATTTATTGACTATTGATTGCATTACATACATTTGTATGTCACCTTATCCAAAGATTTTACTTGAACAATATCTGCCTGATAATTGTGGTGCAGCCAGTGCCTGGCTTGCAAGCCTCTGACCTGTCAGGGCTTGCTGCAATTCAAAGAGGCAGCCATTTTTTCAACTTTTTTTTCTTGACTCGGTTTTTGAATTGCGGAACTGGGCTGTGCTCACCACTTTGGGTCGTACTACCCTCTTGAAGTGGTGGACAGCTACTGTGGCTGTAGCTGACAGCTTAGGCTGAATATTTTTATTTTATTTTATTCCATATTTACTTCTTTCTCCCTTTCTCTACCCCTGTCAAGTGACAGTTATTTTTGGCGGGCTGAAAGATGGCCGCCAAGGGAGCTGATCAAGAATTGTCAGTTCCTCAGCAGGGTAGAAAGAAGTCTGTAAAAGGATCTCCTAAGCCCAGGTCTGCTGCTCTAGAGGCAGCAGCTAGGATTAGAGCCAGGGCTCTAGCCCCTAAGAGATCCTCTAGGGCTGAGGATAGATAAGCCAGGTGTAGACAAAAAGCCATAGACAAACAGTTTGACAGGGCAGTGAGAGATTACAGGATGGCTGAATACAGAACCACCCCTCAAACTTTGCCTCCTCAAGATGACAGGCAGCCGGACCAACTGGCAGATAAGCAATATATGACGGCCTGGGCTCCTGGGGGCTCAAGTACTCACGATTTGCAGGGTAACCTCCAAATCAGGACTGAGACCTTTCACAATTTTTCTGAGTCGCTTCAGGGGATCTTGATGGCAGCAACTGTAGACCAAGTTTCCAGTGGAGCCAGACCTGTGCTGCAGCCACCTTTACACCTAAAGCAGATGGCTTACGTCCGGAGGAGACCCAGGTGCAAGAAATGCCTTCATGAGAGCCTGGATCTCCCAGACAATAAGACAGGAATTGCAGGCAGAGGTCAACCAGCTGTGCCACCTGTCTTATTTGGAACCTAGCAGAGGAGTCCTGCAGAGGCAGGCTTCTGCTGAACAGCCGGTCCACTTCAGAGAGCGCTCGGCCTCCCCTTCAGAAAGCAGCCAAATTTATGGCTCCGAGGGGGACCTCCTTCCAGAAAGGAATTTTTCGGATGAGGAGTCGGAGGTAGCAGGTCCCACCTCCTTTAAGGGCCTTTTCCAGTCGACTCTTTTCAAGACTCTGCTGGTTAAGACCAAGAGCACAGCTCATCTCAAAAAGGACATGGTCACTCAGGACCTTCCCACTGAGGGAGAGGTTCAAGAGGATTTCCTGTTCACTGAGAAAGCATCTGTGGTGGACGCTGTACCTGTGCCCCAGATGTTTCTGAACCTGATCAAAAAGCAGTGGGAGTCCCCTGGGATGTACACTCACACCAGTGGGTCTGAGTCTACCTTATTTAATGTGGACAAAGACCTTTTGGACATTATGGAAGTGCCAAAGGTAGATGGGCCAGTGGTAGCCCTAGCTTCCTCATTTGTCATCCCACCTGATGCGGAGGATGTTCTAAAGACAGAGGACTGGAAGGAGGAGATGGTGCTCCGGAGAGCTCATCAAGCTGACTCCTGGGCCATCAGAGCATTGATGACCGCATCTTTTTTTACTCAGGACTCTTTGCGGTGGCTGAGGCAGCTACAGGACAGAATCCCACCTGAGGATCTCAGGGTGCATCAGGACCTGAATAAGATTATAGCTGCGGCACAACTGACTGCTGATGCCACCCTTGCGTCAGCCAAATTTTCTTCCAGAGCCATGGCCTCTTCCATAACATCATGCAGGCTTCTCTGGCTAAGAAATTGGCAAATGGACGTTAGAACCAAATGGAAGCTGGCGTCGGCTCCCTTTAAGGGAGAGAGGCTTTTTGGGGAAGCCTTGGATCCCTTTCTGACGGAAACCAGGGACAAGCGAAAGATCCTGCCCTCCCAGGGGAGGAGCTTTGATTACAGGTCTCATCCCTACTACAGGAAGCCCTCCTTTAAACGGGAGAAGCTAGGCTTTCCCCGTCAAAGTAGGCCCTTTTTCCACAGATCCTCCTCTCAGGCAGGGGTTCTATTCAATGTTTATGATTCCAAAGGCCTTGGGGGGGGTGGGGGGTGGCGAGCAATCCTCAACCTGAAAGGGCTCAACAGACATCTAATCTACTGAAGGTTCAAGATGCATTCCCTCCACTCCATTCTAGAGGGACTGTGGGAGATTTTGTTGGCCTTGGTAGACTTGACGGAGGCCTACCTCCATGTGCCCATACACCCCAACCACCGTCAGTTCCTGAGGTTTTGCTCTGGCCGCCGCCATTTTCAATACAGGGCTCTCCTGTTCGGCCTGTCATCAGCCCCTTGGACTTTTACCAAGCTCTTGGCAGCGATAGCACACCTCAGAGCCTTACCCATAAGGATCCAATGCTATTTGGACGACATCCTGATAGCATCCTCTTCCAGACCCCAGGTGGAGGAGGATCTGATGTCGACAATCAGGAGTCTTCAAGAGCATGGGTTCTTGATAAACCTGGACAAATGCCACCTAGTACCATCGACTTGGATCTTGCATTTGGGGGCCATTATAGACACCTTGGCCAGACAGGTTTTTCCTCTCACAGGAGCATTGAGACAGTATCAGGCAAGTCACATTGCTGATCCTGTCTTCCACAGAGGTGCCTATCATCTTGCTGTCTCAACTTCTCAGCAAAATGATATCGTGCATCAGGATTGTCCCATGGGCCCGCTTCCACGCCCGAACACTTCAATGGTTCCTGTTCCCTTACAGGGAGGGGTGATTCTACACGGAGGGTTTGCGTCTCCTTGCCAGTTTTTCATTACGTCCATTGGTGGCAGTCCCAAGCTATGCATCAGGGATGCTTGTATAGGGAACTCCAGAGGATTACCATCACCACTGATGCCAGTCTCTATGGTTGGGGGCCCCACTTGGGAGCCCA